GCCAGCCCCGGCACCGCCAGCCCCGGCACCGCCACCGGGCGCGGCCCCGCTCTCTCCCAGCGCTGGGGTTGCGGCCCCAGGAAGAGCCGCCCCCGCTACGACGCTTTCCCCGCTCCAGGCACCGGGACTGCCCGGGGAAAGCGGGGCTGCCCAGGGAAAGCGGGGCTGCCCAGGGAAAGCGGGGCTGCCCAGGGAAAGCGGGGCTGCCCAGGGAAAGCGGGGCTGCCCAGGGAAAGCGGCGCTCGCCCTCTCTCCCCGGCCAGCGAAGGACCGGAGCCGCCCGGCGCTGCCCCCGCCCGGCTCCGCCCGCACTCACCGCTGTCTCTCCCCGCGTCTGTGGGTGCCTGGCGCGTCCCCGCCTTTAATAGCGGAGGGCGGGGCAGGGCCGGGCGCCGGTCCCGGCGTCGCCCGGGATTTCCCTCCCGCCCCGCCCCGGACCGGCCCCACGGCAGCCGCCCCACTCCTACCGTGCCCCCTCACATCCCCTGCCGCTTTCTCTCCGTTCTCGGTGCCGGGAACGTGCCCAGGGGAGACCCGGGCATGCCAGGACCATGGGCACCGGGACCCCCTTCCTAGGGAGGAAGATACAGGGATACAGGGACCCCCCCCTCCTTGAGGAGTGCAGGGACGCCCCTATAACAGGAGATGGAGGGACCCCCATTAGGGGATAGGGGGAACCCCTTCCTAGGTGGGTGTAGGCACCCGGCATCAGGGACCGGAGGGAAACAGCCAGGAGATACAGGGCCCTCCTTCGTGGGAGGTGCAGTGATCTCCCCCAGCAGGGAATACAGGGACCCCCCCCCCCCTCCATGAGGAAATTCAGAGACCCCCTTCCTAGAGGGGCAGGGGACAGGGAGACGCCCCCATGAGGGATGCAGGGAGCTCCTCGTTAGAGGGTACAAGGAGCCCCCGGCAATGGATCCAGGGATGCCACATTCTAGCCGGGAGATGCCGGAGTTCAGCCGGCTCAAAGGGCTCCACTCGCTGTCCCACTCACCCACTGTAGGAAGGAGACAAATGGATTAAGGAAGGGGTGGCTCAGCCCCTCGGGGTGCCAACCTGAGAACCACACGGTGATGATTCTCCTCTGGCCCCGAGGCACTGCCCAACCTGCCCCAGGCCACCCTGGCCTCTCCAGCTGGATTGTCTCCTCCAGGCCTGGCTCTGCTCCACCAGCAGAACCCCAGCACCCACTGTGGGTGGAAAAAAAGTGTTTGGAGTAGGATCTGCTGCTCTGAGTCCTGCAGATGTCCAGGCAGGGATGAGGAGGAGGAACAAGTCTGTGCATGTCCTGCAGGAACCTGTGGCAAGGATTTGAGGGGATCTGTGGCTTAGCTGGAAAATGCATCCAAATCCACAGGCAGGAAAGGTGGGAAGCCAGGGCAGCTTCTGCTGGGGTTACTCTGTGGGCCTGGAGGGCACCTGCCCCTCAGGGAGGGAAGGGATGCCCTCGGAGCAAGCACAGCCGGGCACAGGGGCCGTGTCCTGCAGCCCCTCCCAACCCAGACCTCCTGGCTCACAGGGACAAACACAACCTGCTCCCCTGGGCACAAGGAGGTGACAGCACAATTCCAAGTGACAAAGGCCATGTTAAAGTGATCTCTTGGGAATGCGAGGTCTCCTCGAAAGCTCCTGGAGGCAGCAGGTGCCGAGGAGCTGAGGAGGACCCTTGGTGTGCAGACCACTCCTGCTTTTTCCAGCTGGACCAGCAGCTCCCCACTGGCCAGAGCAGCTGGAAAATATGTTTGGGCATGTTTGGCTGGAGGCTGCCATATGCTGCAGGATTTTGCAATCACTCATCCCCACTCTGTGGGGCTGGGCTTGTGCCAAGGTGCTGGGATTTGGATCAGTGGTGGCTGCTCAGCCCCTGGCTGCCTCCAGACAGGCACAGTGGGATGGACATGAAAGGTGAAATGAGGATGGGGAGTGGGAAATCTTAAATTCATGCTACACACTGCTGAAAATCCATCCTGGAAAGCTGTAATCTGGGCTTAAAAGCTCAAAAATTCATCCTGTCTTTCTGTTTGTAAGAGACAGGGAGAGGAGGGGGCAAGTTGGGACAGGGAAGCTGTCACTGGTTTTTCCACCTGGGAATGATTTCTGCTCCTGGGTGCAAGGAGCAGCTTTGAGAGGCTCACTGCAGAGCTAACTGCTGCGCTGTGTAGCTGTGGATCATTTCATTGCCAAGCTCCGGCTCTGCTCCAGCTGCAGGTGTGGGGTTGCTCCCTCTGGGTGTGAGGGATGCAATCGGCACCACGCCGGTAGCACCGTGGGCATCCCCCAGGTCAGTGCAGCTCCAGTGCCACCTGGCACTCTGGGATGAAGCAGCATTTACCAGAGGATGCTCCCTGATTAAAACACATCCCTTTTTTTCCATAAATGGCCCCCTCCCTCCCACCCCTCCCAGTGCACAGAAGGAAATGGGAACATCACCAGCAGCTTTTTGAAGTGGCAGAGAAAGGAGCTTGTGCAACCCAGAGTGGCCCCACAGCCACTGATGTAAGAGTGAGGGATTCAAAATGTGAGATAACCGACCAGCCTGGCCACTGGGAACATCCCAGTTACACCAGTGATTCATCCCAGGACTAAACCAGTGAAAGAATCAATCAAACGTAGATTTTCCCTTAGGAAAGTAACTCTGTAATTCTGTCAGTGATTTTCTGGTGGGGTGGGGGTTCACTCCCCACACTCTGGGATGGTTTCTGCCCCTCACAAACTCCACTCTCGCTTCCCTTCCTCCAGGAGAGGGGAGCTCTGGCCGCGGCATCGGAGGAGACCGAGACCTCAGCCGAGTGGGGTGTTGGAAATGGGAAGCGGGCAGAGGGATGGCGACAAGGTCTGGGTCAGGAAGTCCATGGGCACGTCTGCAGTGGCATCACCAGAGGAAAAAAAAGGGGGCGGGAGGGGGGAAGAGTGATTAAGAAGGCGATACAGGAACTTAAAAAAAAAGAAAATCCCAAAGGTGATTCACGGTGTTTGATCCCACAGCTCGGAGCAGGAGGAGAAGGGCAGACAGGACTGTGGACCAGGATTAGTGCAGAGGGAGGATGAGCTATTTCCTTCTCACCATTTATAGCCACAACGTGGGTTCCCCTGGCCCAGGCTCGCCCTCCCCAGGGTCCCAAACCCCCGCCCGGGAGGGGTGTGGTCGTCGGAGAATCCATGTTTATAATTTCCTTGAATAACCCGTCCCAATGCCTGGAAGCAAAAGGAATATATGAAACGACTGCATATTTCACAGCCTTCAAAGGAACCTCCTCCCCAACACCGGGGGCACCCAAATACCGAGCGGCGGCCGCTGTCTCAGCCAGGGAGCCCTCGGGAGCATTTCATTCGCAGGGGATCTCCCCAGGTGGGTCCCGCAGGAGCCGAGGGGAGTGGAAGCCTCTGCAGGCACGGAAGCAAACTCAGGGCAGGCAGAGCCGGAGTGTGAGTCACCCTCGGCACAGCCAGGAGGAATCGTCAGGGATCCGTCAGGGAACGTGCCCGGACACATCGCTCCTGACTCCGAGCCTCTTCCCGTCCCGTGTCCTCCCCTGACTCGGGCAGCAGCACCCCCAAAAGCCACGGGGACATGGGGGGGAGTTCCAGCGAGGAGCAGGGAGAGGCTCGGGTGGGCTGGAGGAATCAGGGCCTTGGATAGGATGGAGAACGGGGAAATGTGGCTTCGTGGAGCTGTGTTTACAGCAATAACACACCGAGGTGCACCCCGCGCTCAACAGCACTGTTTGAAATGCACACAGACTCCTGCGTGTAGGGATTTTACACGGTTTGGAGATTTAGTGGTCAAAGGTCTATGTGAAGAGGGTTTTTTTGAGGTGGAGAAGTAATATTCCTGTTTTATCAACCAGCATAGAGGGAAAGACAGCAAAGATTTGTGCAAATGAGCATCCCTCGGGTCTTCTGGAATGGAGATGGCAGAGATCAGGGCACACTTATTTTTCAAGGTGAGATACACACAAACTCTGGAAAAAGGTGAATTTCTACCCAGGGAAACACCCTGAAAACGGGTGGAACTAACACAGGACCTCTGCCCCAGCACAGACAGTGGGGATGAGCATATGGGGTTGGGGTTCAGTCCTGCAGAACACACTGTTCTGTACCCAAAATGTCCAGCCAGGGCTGTGTCCCACTCCATGGGGCACAGAGGTGATTTTTTTCCCTCCTCAAACAGATTTTATTTGTCAGAACATCCCAGGCAGGTGGAAATTGCTCGACTCAGGACAGCAGATTGCCAGTGACAAAGTCCTGAGTATTCCAGCTAAAAACTAAAAACTCTCTTCATCAAGTTTCAAATCACCAAGAGTTTTTCTGTGTGTTTTTTTATTATCTCTGCTAACAAGCTTTTTTAAGTGGGAATCGTGAAGGCTCTTAATGAAACCCTCACGCTCCAGCAGAAGTCTAAATGAACCCAGTGTTCGGCTGGAGGGCGTTTATATCCCAGCGAAGCCTGTTTTCCCATCAGCTCTTTGAAGTGCCCAATTAAGTGATTTTATACTAATAGGATTTTCCCAGGAAAGAAAGACAAGAATGACAAAACGCTGAATGCTTGATTAACTCTGCCCCTAAAAGAACTCGGATCGTGTTAATTGACTGTTCCCCTGCCATATCCAGCCCTTGTTTGCCCCATTTATGAAGGCATTTTGATGAGACACCAGACCCAGCAGAGTGGAAATACAGTCCCACCAAGCACAAATGGGGGATGAGACGGCCCTAAAACAAGGTCTTTGCTTACTGGAAATATTCCTGGATGTGGGAGCCGGGCTATGAATCAGTCGCTTCATTCGGCCCCTCACTCATTTTCATCCAAGACTGTTTTTAGCCCCATTCATAGTCATTAACGTAATTGCTTCACTGACTTTCCATGAGCAGCTTGGAAGCTTTGTGGGGTTTTTTTGCTGGCAGCAAAGGCCTCATTGTTCAGAGTACGGCCGGGCGGCCGCAGTACCTGGCTCCAAACCCTGCACCCGGCTGCCCCTTTATTCCCTTGCTGCTCCACCTCATTGCCCACGGCCCAGAGCTCGGCAGGACGGGGCAGATGCCCGGAGGGGGCACAGACACCCCGCTGGGAACGGGGGCGAGCGGCTCCAGCCTCTTGCAGCGCTTCCTGCAGGGAACAGGGTCCATCCAAAAGGGTTATTTTGCAACCAGCACTTGCCCACGGGCATCTCAGTGAGGGCAGGGGGAGGAACAGAGGACCTCACCCAGCAGGATAAGCAAGGGCAGGGAGCGTGGGGCAGGATTGCTGCTGTCCATGCAGCTCAAGGGTGCCCAGCCCTCGGGGCAGCTCAGCCCGTGGAAGTTGTCAGTGGATGCTATAGCTTCTTCCCAATGCAC